TTGAAATATAATGTATAGAATTTTATTCTCAACACGAAATAGAAAGACCGGCATTATCAGTAACGTTCGATCGTTTCATATTTATTTGTGATACCTCTATCAGATAGAAAAATTTCCATGAAAGCACTACAAATTTAAAGACTGACTTGTTTGTGTTGCCGATCTACCAATTATATGAATTCTTGACTAACTAAGCGAAAAAATGCAATGAATTGCTAAAAGTTATACGAAGCTATATATGAAAAGAGAAGAAAAGGCTAAAACAAAATCATCGCTTACCCGTTTAAAAAAATTGCATTCATATCGATCTCTCTATGAAAAGACTGTATTTATATAGTGGCGAGTTGGGCATATGTGTATTTTTTGCCAAATTACAACGTAACAAAACAAAATAATTAAATAAAATGCAATAAAATAAAGTTAAAGACATTTTTATATAGTCATTTTTGGGCACTTTAAACGCTACAAGAAGCTCTATCGCAAGATGAGAGCTTCACGACGAAGAAAGAAAATATATATACATAAAGCAATAAGCAGACTGAATAAAGAATACCTAAGAAGAAAACTGCAATATTTTATTATGAGCTTTAAGAATAACAGTGTCACTAGCACGAATGTAACGTAAGTAAGACAAAGAATTCCAACGACCTACCGTTTGTATTAAATGATCAGGAACACCAGCCGCCGCTGCAGATGTAGCTGCTCCTACTCGTAGACTATGTCCACTATAAGCAGAAGCTTCATAACCTAATTTATGCAATACATGTCTTAAATTGAAGATAAAAGCGCGACGAGTAAATGCTTGACCGTTGGGTAAAAGAAAGAAAGGGGAATGATGATTATTGCTGTTGCGAAGAACAGTAAAACAGTTTAAATCATGAACTGCACAATTAATAGATCCGTTTTTAAACAAACGAATATTCGCTCCTTTCCGTTCTATATCAGTCTTTGATGATTTTAAATGAATAATAATACAGTTTATATCATATTTAACATCAGCATTCGTGACATGTAAGCATGAAGAAAATTTATCAGGAAATAATTCATCAGATCTGAAGAAACCCCAAAACGCAGTAGTAAGTGCTGCTTGCATTAATGTATCGGGATAAGGATTAAATATACCGCATCGTAATGCATCCATTTATTTGTTTAGAATATCGATGGTAACAGGTTTGTATTATTTGGTGGGTAATGAATCCAAACGTCGTGCCCCTCTAAGAATCATCTGAATTTGTGGTATTTTATAACCGTGAATGTCTAAAAATGCATCAGAAAAGCTATCATGTAAACGATAAAAACGAATAGCAGCTAAGCAAGAACATATTGTAGAACATCGAATGTTACGAATACCATGACAGAACGCTATGAAACGTAAAATAAGATTATGAGGTAAATGAGAAGAATGCATGTTGAAACCGGACATAACTGCAAAACGAGTAAAAAGTTTATAACCAGAAGAGTATGATGTTTTCGAAGTTGAAGAAATAGTATTATTAAATAAATCAGCTACAATACTATCGATTCGATCGATGGAAAGGTTAAGTCTTTCATTGAAGGAACGTTTTTCGGGCATCGATCAGCAGTTGGTAATAGTTGACGAAAGCGATTTGTCTGTAAACGAGGGAGAGCATCTGCTAAATTATTGTCATATGTAGAAATATAAACAGCTCGTAATAAAAATCGATGTTGAATGGCAAGTAAAGTTAATCTACGAGTAAACGCCATAATAAGAGAACTTTTCGATCGACCTTTATTAATTATGTTAACTGTGGCCTGATTATCACATAAAAGACAAATTCGCTTCCTCTTCCATTGAGAACCCCACAAAACTGCGGCAACAACGATAGGAATGATCTCGAAAAATGCTGCTGATTTTTCGTTTTCTGGAAGATTAAGCATTTTCTCAGACCACCGATGAGCAAACCACTCATTCCCAAAAACAGCACCACATCCTATAGTTGTACTAGCATCCGTTGAGAAAGCCAAATCAGTATTGGTGGAAATATTAGGATCAAGAAAGAAAAAGGTTTCATTCCATTCACTCAAATGTCGATCCCACATTCTTAATTCGAGCTGGGCTTGTCGATTAATGGTAATATGTGATTCTAGAGATCGAACATAAGTGGTTAAGTTGAATAAATAATGAACAAATGTTCTGCCTGGAATAATAACCCTGGATGCAAATGACATGTGACCTAAGATAACTAGTAATTCACGGTTTTTACATTTACGTCGATTAAGTAAAGATCTAATCATTTCCATGACACGTAATACTTTTTCTTGAGGTAACCTCGCCTCCATTCGATTTAAATCAAGAACAATGCCTAAATATTCAATTTCTTGAACGGGACCGACCGTTTTATTTACTGATAAAGGAATTTTAAGCCGATTGAAAATAAAACTAATCATAGCACATGTTCGTGCTTCACCATCATCAGGACTGTCTACTACAAAAAAGTCATCCAACAAATACAATATGTTTTTAATACCATAATTATGTTCAGCAATGCAAACAATAGCTTCACTTAACATGTCAAATAATTTAGGTGAACTACGAGAACCAAATGGTAAGCGTACAAAGAAATAATAATAGTTATTCCATTTAATGCCGTAGAAAGGCCATAGAGATGGTTTAATCGGAAGCAATTTAAAAGCATCTTGGATATCAGCTTTATTCATCCAGGCACCCCTTCCTTATTTCTGAATACTTTTAATAGAATCATCGACAGTAACATATGATAGAGAATAAGAATCTTTATCGATTAGAGAATTAATACTTGGTTGATCTTTGTTATTATGAGAAGCAGATAAATCAGCAATTAAACGTTTCTTTTTTGAATATTTCGATTCAATCAAACCAATAGGATTTATTCGATAATTAATAAAAGGTGGAGAGTAGTAAGGACCGATTAAGAAACCTTTGTTAAGCTCTTCTGCCACTAAACGAGTAACATTTTCTGGGTCACGACGTGCTGATCGTCAATTGGGGCATTCTAAAGGTTTGTTGGGTATGTTGGAGATACCAGTATCAAAACCTTCACGTAAGCCTGATAACAAGAACGAAGTAAATTACTTATCAGGATGACAAGCTAATTCTTGCTCCAATCGACGGATATCAATTGGCGTAGTTGCTACTAGAGGAATGCTCGTAGAGCAATCGGTAACTATAAATAAAGAATAATTAGATAATTCTAGCAAACATAATTCAGCGACCCATACCATAAATACGTTAATTCAATTTAAATAAAATTAAAATTAAAAAAAAATACCCTATTAGAGAATCCTTGATCGTTATAACTTATTTCTATATTTATTATATTATTCGTACTTGTAGGATTATTTAAATTTTTTTTTTTTTATAATTATTATTAATATTATTAATAGCAGTAGTACAGTTCATATATATATATATTTTAATAGCAGCAATACAGTATATATATAATGTCAGTTTATTTGATATTACACAATTTTTTGGGGTGGGTACCTCGACAACGAGAACATAAATGAAGAAAACGACAATTCGGTTGAATACATTTTCCGAACACGGCTCCATTATAAAATTTACAAGTAGAACCAGCATCTTGCTTAATATCATCACTGCCTAAAGCTTGACGAAAATAAACTTTCGATGATGCTGAAAATGGAAAACGATCGTGATTTTCCGATAAAAATTTTTCGATTAAATCATCCCGATTGAGTATTTTTTTACAAAAATATTGTGGAGTGGTCTGGACCACGACATAAATCACAAACAATTGGTCGTAATCCAGAGAAGACATTAAAATAAATATCGTGGTCTCTTTTGAACCAATCGATCAAAATGTTACGTGTTTGCAATAGAGTTTCAGCTTTTTGAGCAAATAAACGGTAATAATGATAGAAAAAAGGATGACCGAACCGAGAAGATAAACGAATGATATCACACAAATAAGCTGTTAATTCATGACGTCGTTGAGGAAAACTTCACAGATAATATTTAAATAACGTGTAAAAGCTAATATAAATTCAAGAATAGTAAGGTTTTTATCTAAACGAGGATCATCCTTTTGTTTAAGATAAACATTTTTGTCTTCGTCATCATCATCATTACGGCTATATTTTTTGTTGTCTGGAGGAAGAAGAAGACGGACCAAATTAGCATTATAACCTTCAATAATAGCTTTTCGTAAACCTTTCGGAACAGATTCAAGATCACTGTCTCCTCGTACAGATAGTCCACTACTTCCGAAATATAAGTTCTCTTCAGCCATTGGAGCCGAAAACAATGTAAACGGCTTACCAGAATTATTGTTAACATTATTTGTTGGTTCAGCATGATGGAAAAATTCATTTGATATTTTTTGTGAACGAACAATGTTATGATCTCTTTCCTCGTCGTGTGTATCGGATGGAGTCATTTTGTTATAGTTAATATTAACATCATGAATTTTGTCTGTGTCATCATCAGAAGAATCATCGGTCGATGCAGTATGTTTATTATGTTTAACTTCAGTCGTTGTTGATCCTATTAGAACTTGGTTCTTGTTTTTCTTTTGTTCTTCGATAACATTAGCTTCATATAAGAGACGTAACGTATCATTTTTTTATTCCAGTTGGAATTAATATGCCTAATTCAGCTAATGATTCAATAAGATGTTTACGAGACATCTTTGAAATTTGATTATTGTATGATATTTTTGATGCATTTGATTTTGTATTTTTCTGTTTTACAACCGCATTACTAGATGTTCGCTTTGTGTATTTATGCTTTTTCTTGGATTGCACAATGGTGTTAGACCGTGGCATTTGTAAACTATTGAAAAGTTTAACTTGAATAAATGTTGAAGCTTTAACAAATTCAATAGAATAATATCAATAGCTTTTCACTGAATGAGAGCACGAGAAGATGATAATGAAATAACAACTTAGCTACACATGATAATGAAATTCAAGCAGAAACGAGCGCTATATTCAAAAAAAAAAAGAAAAAAGAAAATCAGTCGAGCCTGCATGAATCCTCTTTAGCGTCTCCTTACCTCGCCATTAAAGAATTATTGACGGCGAAGTATGACGGCTTGACGAACTTGATTTTCGATCGACTGAAACCTGAAGAAGAGAGTCATGTAATACTATTTTACTGATACCTATAAACGCTCATCATTTTTGAATTTTTTCACGACCCCCTCGCTTTGGTAAAATAGTCATTATTCGAATTTGCTCAGATTCCTCACTATCGTTGTATAAGTTTTTCAAACCAGTTAGCAGTTCGTTAGATTCAGATACAAGAATACCATGAGGGTTTGGGTCATTTGAATCCTCTTCCTTCTCTTCAAATACATCACACAAATGATGGAGACTTCTGTAGAATTCATCAATTTGTCAACGAATTGGAGCCACATTTGATCTAATCAAGTACAACATATATATCCACAATCTAAATTAGATCAACTCACTGATTGTGTATAGGAGGTAGATCAAGAGCTTGAAAAATGCTTGTCAATTTATCCTTTGCTTTTTCTTGCTTGTAACTGAGCTCGTATAAATCGGTACCTGAGCTAGAACTTTCTTGGGAACTAGAACTAGTTAGATAATTCGATTGGGATGAAAAGTTTTCTTCATTGATTTTGTCGTCTCTGTCATGCTCTTCACTTTCAATATTTTCTCTTTCTTCCAAATCCTCCAATTGGGTTTCCATTTGTTGATTTTGTCTCGAATGTGAAACAATTCGAGCATAACCAACACACATTCAAGTTCGGTATTTCATCACGCTCGCGCATGAACTTTAATAAATTAGATGAAACTGGATAACATCCCTTCGGTAAATTCACGGCACCCACATAGCGAAGATGGTGCTGACTAGAGCCCGGCGTGAACAACTCTTTTGGCCACGATCACGTCACGGCCCTTCTTTATGGTTTCTCTACATGAAAAAAAATTTCCAGAAAGAACTATTGCAAAGTTTCCCTAGGGAAAATCCTTGATGTTTCCGTACCAGGTCTCTTATGGATTCAGTCAGGATCCTTCCAGTATTCGCTCTTTTTTCCTGAGAAAACGACGAAATCCTGAAAGAAGTGTGTAGCCACGGAATTTCAAGATCCTAACAGAATTCGAAAAAGGATTACATCAGGATCCTGAACAGGTTACAATTGTTGTTGAACTTGAAATAATTTAGAAAACAAGATGTGGTTGTGGGTGTAAACAGAAGTTCTACTTGTATCAACTGACAAGAACAGCCACTGATATACTCTCTTGTTGGCTTTTTGTTGTGACACTTCTCAGTTTTACCTGCAAAAGTTGACTGGGCCCTTGTACCAAGATCCCTATTAGATTTTGTCTAAAATTTGATAAAATCTTGAGAGAATCCTCTCCATTATTCCTGTTAGAATCATAAGCAAAATCATGAATGAATCCCTAAAGGATCCTGTATTTATTATCTACAAACACATCTGGCCAGGAACGGAAAGAAATCCTAAACAGGATCCTGACAGATCCTTACAAAATTTCTCAAGGAATGAACAGGATTGAGACTAGGCTTCTGTTTACTATTAAAAATGATAATCGAGAGAGGGTAGCTTCGCGGAGGTGCCCGTATTTCCTCTCAGGGGTTTCCAAAATCTCGAAAAAGTTCCCGTGACTGCCGTGAGTCACGGCGATCACGCCGGGCACTAGTGCTGGCACGGTTTAGATCGTGGCATGATATCTGAAACAAATGTTAAAAGTTATCGGAAAGATTGAAAAACTAAATGTCACACGAAGAAAACTTTTAATTAACGTTTTTATTTGTTCAACTAATGTTCAATGATGAATGCTGTTTCGTTCGCAATACTGCCTCTACAAAACACGCGTGCTATTCTGTGAGAAAACATCATCATTTTGTATGAAGTATCCTATAACCCTAAGTGTCACTATGATCATATGAAAAGTTAGTTCAGTGAATCAGCTTACTGTCCCTATAGGAAATGGAGTTTGAACTGAGCTCGTCTGAAATATAGACAAAAAAGGAGTTATTTACCGTTAAAATAGAACAAAGATGCACTTTCTTTTTTTATCTCAGTTCGTGTATCATGAAAAAAGAAAAAATCCTTTCCATGTATTTTCAGTGAAAAATCAACGATGAATTTTATTGTGAGAGGTCATATATATTTGACTTTAGTTGAGAGATTTCAAAATCATTCTATTCTTGACCCTTTTCGAAGTATAAAAGCTAGATAAGTGATCGAAACTTGTTTACAAGCGATCAGCAATATATATGGAACAAAATCCGACTATAATACATTACTAATACATGTACCTCGTTTTTTTATGGGTGCTCGAAATGGATTGGACAAATTTGTAATTTTTATTTTGCTCGATGCTTTTCACACTGTGTTCGAATAAACTTGAAGTTGAGAATGAAAATCTAAGATTTCTTCCAAAAAAGTGGTATAAACTTCATGGAATCACCCTTATATGATAGGAGGGATAAGAAGAGATGACAAAGAGCGAAACGCAACTGGGTCAAAAACTTTTTTTTTATTCATCTATTCCTTGATTTTATAACCAAGAGACTACATTAATATAGTTTATAGACAAAAAGAAAGCACAGGGACAGAATAGACTACTAATTTTAAGCATCCTTATATCGTTCATCATTATATCGTTCATCATACACTGTTTTGTAATGGAGAAGTTAGTTCGTGGTTGTGTATATTCATTGTTAAGAATGATCACTACACATCAATAATCATACTCGATGATTCTTATTATCAAAACAGATAAGTATAAGCCAAACAAATGCGTTAAATGGTATAACAATTATAGCAAATTTCGTCGCATTCAAAACAAAAACTAGAATGTTTATAGAAAAACGAAATGAACAAATTTACTTTTTTTTTCATTTATATACAGACAAGTCTATACAGAATCTTTTCAGGAACTGTTGTAAATAAACCTAATGAATTTCCTGATTTCTTTGAAAGAAAATAAATTGTTCGTTGATAAAATATATAAGATTTTGTGAATGAATTTTATTTGCTGTTTTAATCTTAACAAGTGATTTGCATAACAAAACCTAATACTGTCATATTTACTTATCCAGCAATTAATCAGCTTTCACGAAAGCAGTGATAAAAGATATTTCACCATACAAATGCAATGTATTTCTTCATACAAACGTGAATCATATAGTCACAAGCTGCAATTCACTATCAAATAACTTGACCAATAAACATAATATCTACCGAACAATCCACCTGTATTTTTTTCTCTTACCTTATTTTCTGCTTTCAAATAAATAGCTCTATTGATGCTATGAAGGTTTTTCTGTCTTGCTCTTTACTTCGAACACACTAGATTACTCATAAAAGTGAAACAAACCTGTTTTGTGCAGCCCTCTATTTATTGTGTCAAACGAATACAACGAAAAAAAATATTTATATGAAAACAACAGTATAAAAACACAGACATAATATCGTTTCCTTCATTCTTTCTTTTCATACATAGCGAAAAATATGGCTTCGTCATTATCATCAAAAGCTACAAGTTTCGAACATTTTAGTCACAAACTTTATTCATCTGTTAGTCGAAAGAAGATTAATCAAAATATATTTTTTTCACCAGCAAGTATTGCTCTTGCTATGTCAATGTGTACAGTTGGTGCTCGAAAAGAAACATTAAATCAAATGTTACATGTTCTGGATGCATCATCAACAGACAGTTTAACAAAAACAGCTGAAAAAATTATGCATGTGTTTTCTATTGCTCATCATGACACACAAGTTCAACTTAAATTAGCTAATCGTCTTTATGCACAAAAAGCATATAAACTTCAACCAAATTATTTAAGTCTTGTTCAAAATTCTTTTAAAGCTGATATTAAACTCCAAGATTTTCAAAATGATAGTGCTCATGCTGTTCACAAAATCAATAGATGGGTTGAAAAAAAAACAAACAGTCTAATTCAAAATTTACTTTCAGAAAATGATGTTACACGTGATACACGATTAATCATTGTTAATTGTATTTATTTTAAGGTGAATATTAGCTTTCATCAAAGTAAAATAATTTCTTTTTTTTTACTAATTGAATAATAGGGTACATGGATAAACCAATTTAAAGAACGTTTAACAAATCTAAATGCTGATTTTCATGAAGCTAATGGTAAGATACAGAAAATAAAACTAATGTATCAAAAAGAAAATTTTGCTTATGCTGAAAACAACGATTTACATGTACAAATTGCTCATTTACCATATAAAAGTGATAGTCAAGATATTCAATTTGTTTTTACTGTAATTTTACCTAAGCAAGGTGTTTCATTGGATGAAGTTGAACAAAAATTAATATCAAAACCAAGCCTAATGCACAAAGTATTAAGTGATGAAAATACAACAACACAAGAACTTCTTTTATATTTACCAAAATTTAAAATGGAAGCTGCATTTGAATTAAATGATGTTCTTATACACCTTGGAATGATAAATGCATTTAGTGGTAGCAAAGCAGATTTTACTGGTATTGTCAGTCAACAAGATGACAGAAATGGTTTATATATTAGCAAGGTAGAAAAGAGTCATAATAAGCTAATTCATTTATTCTCAATATAAAATTTTAAGGTTATTCACAAAGCGTTTATCGATGTGAATGAACAAGGTAAGTGTGTATATTTTTATAAAGTAGTTTGTCGATAAATACTGACAGTGAGAGATAAAGAATTAATTTACGCCGCCTAAACTGTTAAAAATCTGAAGAACCAGTATTGATTATGGTATGAGAATGTTATATTTGTGAGACATTGAAGGTCATTCAAGATTGATTAGAACTCTAGCGAAGAGGGCATGACGAATTTTTCAGGTAGATATCATGATGTTGTGGTGAGATATTCATCAAGCAAAAATCAAGAATAGCTGATTTGACAACGTGAAATTCTCTGTAAGGTTTGATACTATATTTTTAAGGCTTTTTTAAAAAAAGCGTTCCAGGCTACAGAGTTTGTCAGAATCCTTTGTAAAATGCATTGGGTTCTGTTTGAGAGTAAGAACAACAAGTCAGTTACTGGAAAGAACTCACAGAAAAATGGCGTCTTTTGAAGCAGTGTTTACAATTTTTTCCAACACTGGGTTTATCACGATTAATTTCCAAGAAAAATTTGCCAGTTGAAAAGAACGGCGTTGGTAGACCCTGTAGACGAGCACATTATGTGAAGTGATAAAAAATAAAATATAAACGACGAAGTTCTACCGAGAAGTTCGGGTTGCCAAACACAGGTTTTTGACTCTCCTTGAGTAAACATCTCATGGAAACATCATGATATGTAGCTGAAAATTTATCATAGCCCCTCCACTAGAGTTTAAATATTGTCTGAAAAGTTGATACAGTTAGAATGTTTCTATTGTACTCAACGTTATTTAATTGTTTTCGTTTTTCTGTCAAGAAAATGAATAAAATATGATATGAATTACTGCAGAGTTTTGTTGAAATTCTTCACTGCACAAACAGAAAACGTTAGTGTACAACATTGTGAAACACACTGAAAATCTGTTCTTTATCCGAAACCTTAGTAATCTGTTGATAATCATGTCTGTGGTGTCATTCTATCAATTTTCTCATATCTTAGAAAAGAATAAGTTTTTCAAATATTCTATTCTTGTTTTTCTCGTCAAAGGTCGGAAGCAGCAGCTGTGACTTCTGCAAGACTTTCAAAAAGACGCCGAATAGTATTCGAAATCAAATCAGTTGAATTCAAACTGAATCATTCATTTGTTTCTATGATTCGATATCTCAAAGAAAATAGTACTTTATTTTTGAAAAACCTTTATCGGCACTCTTTTCATATTTTTTATTTCGTATAACATTTAATGAAAAATGTTATTATTGTGCAAACGAATAAGTTCTTTTTTTGAGTAACGTACACGAGTCATAAAAGTGAATTTCACAAAGTAAAAAAATCAGCCGTAAAATCCTGCACACCAGACGAAATCATATGAAAACCATAAATAAAATCATTGTCTCGGGAGTCTTATATGAAATTCTACCGTGAAAGTTTTCAAGGATCTTGGTGACAGATAAATTTCTCTATAATTTTATAGTGATATTTTACAGGACAGTAAGACCTTTGAAGAAACTCCGAATATGAGTTAGCGTAAGATTTCAGAGACAATTATTTTGTTTGCAATTTTCGTCTCATTTTATAATATATCATACAAGATCAAAGGTGCGATTTTGTAAGAGCTTACCAGGTAATTGATTGACCTGGCACATGAAACTTGCATTTAATATCCACTTGAACTCGGTTCGCAAGTTAATGCTGCCGCTACGGATGTTGTCATGAACACAGAATCATTATCAATAGGTCGAAAACCTGTTCCCATCAAATTCAAAGCTGATCCTCTATTTTTATCTCATATTCGAGAAACTCGACGAAATTTCATGCTATTTACTGACAAATTTCATATATCTACAAATATATCGTCGTAACATGTAATTCTATATTTGCTTTTATAAAACTGGCTGATAAATTACTTAGGAAAACATTCTCAGACATAAAGTTCATCTTTCTTATACGTTAGAATGAAGAATAAGTATAAGTCCGCGCTGAATGCTTGATATCTATGTGAAGCCATAATTGAAGATTCTTCAAGTTTTTATTTATTTATTTTCTATCACTTCATTTAGGCTCAGAAGCAGCAGCAGCTACTGCAGTTGTCATGTTGTGTGGTTGTTCAGGAATGTTTGAGGAAGAACAGCCTATTGAATTCAAAGCTGATCGACCATTCTTATTTTTCATTCGTGAAAGTCGACAAAATATTGTTTTATTTAATGGCAAATATGTCTCACCACCGATGGCTTCATAAATGAACTATATCCATGATTTTTTCCTGTCCCATATGCACACATTTATCATTAGTGGACAAAAGGATATATCATATATTAATTGCACTATATTTTACTGCTCATTTTTGAAAAGCTTGAAATCCATCTTTACTCTTATTTCATAAATATCTTAGAAAATAACTTAGAAGAATTCTAACTTTTAGCTACAAGCATAATATCGTATATGAGCATACAAATATGTATCCACAAAGTACTGTGTTGCAAATCAGTGCCATCAGTCATAAAATCGTTCTGCATAAGGCACTGATTGGTTTTTTCTCGAAAGATCCTTCCGGCTACATGCTGACTACCCAGGTAAAGGAGATACAGTGGGAAACGACCGGATCTCGGAAATTTTCGGCGGCTAGATCCAAATTTGATTTCAGTCTCCTTTTTCCGCTTGATTCGCGTCATTTTCTGTGCTTGGAAATTATGTTCACGTGCATGTATAATTTTCAACACGGTTCTGGACTAAGGATACGTTGATTATTCTTGACGAAAGGATATGCGATGGATCCTGTTGTTGTGAGCTCTGTTAAGGAGGTCAGAGCTGAAAACGAGTACGATTGCTGGAATAGCCTCGTAACATATAGTTTTCAGCTGCTGGACGTAGTTAGTTGCTAACGAAAAATGCGAAGAGTAATCTATATAGTAACTATTGCTACTTAATGATTACATTCTGTATTCATTGCAGAAAACAGCAGTACCAAAAATCAGCACAATCATAATAAGAATCAATTCAAATCGACTGCGACGATAAACAAATCCAAATGGAAGCTCGTGAATCATTATCCTGATTTAATATAGCTATTATGCAGAGGGACAACGGTAATTCAAAGCGCTTTGACAATTAGTGTAAATGGTACAAAATTGTGAAACACAAAAGAATTCATCGAAAACCATGATTGCTATCCTTTTCCAGAAGCAGGTACAAGTTCTAATCTAACAATCACGTGTATCATCAAAATTGAGTGTAACATTATGCCCTTGACGCATCTTATACTCGTTATTTTAGTATAAAAGGATAAGTCGCCTGAATTAGGCATTTATCTTGGAAAATCGATAGAAACCATCTTTTGCGATCTTTTCTCGAGAACAAAGATATGGTATCATGTGAGTACAGAATTAATCATGGAAAATGATCATAAATTGATGCTTATTATGTTCACTTTCTTAATATAAAGGGACCTGACGCACAAATTATACAGTTCTATTGAAAAATCAATAGAAATCGCCATTCTTTATCGTTTATCCGAAACAAAATCTTCTTTTGAAGTGTGTATGTTGTTTCCTAGGAAAAGTGAACAAAAATTGGAAATAATGGATTCATTTGCAGAAAACGAGATCTTCGCAGTTTTATTATGGTTTCAAATCTCATGAAACTATTCACAAGAGTCAAGATGAGTTTGGAATTAGGGCGCCTCCCATTGAGAATAATGTGAAACTGATTTGAACGAATTTCATTGGGAGGCCAAGGCACTTGATCTTAAATGATCATTTTCGGAACAGGTTATCATGACCTCTATCATACGATTTATAGTGGAACGTACGAGTAGAAACAGTGGATTCCAGGAGACTTCTGGCCAGTTTCTTTCTTATTCCATAGATTTTCTTGTGATTTTCTGAGCTTTTCTGGCGCAATGCTGTGGATTTTCTATTCATCTCTTGTTTCGAAGCATTACAGGACACCCATTATTTCCCATACGGTGGCTTCCTGTTTCAGAATAATTCTTCCACGTTCCTAGTTTTTTTCCGTCGGGTTCCTGCGAGAAATTCAGTTGGTCTTAAAAAAAACACGTCGAAAAGTCATCGCATACGNAAAACAATTAAATACAATAAAATACAATAAAGTTAAAGATATTCTTTATAGTCATTTTTGGGCACTTAAAAACGCCACAAGAAGCTCTATCGCAAGATAAGAGCTTTGCGCCCAAAGAAAATATGTACAAAAAGCAATAAACAGACCAAGGATAGAAATAACTAAGAAGAAAACTGCAATATTTTATGATGAGCTGCCAGAATAACAGTATCATTAACACGGATGTAACGTAAATAAGACAAAGAATTCCAACGATCTAGGGTTTGTATTAAATGATCAGGAACACCAGCCGCCGCTGCAGATGTAGCTGCTCCTACCCGCAGACTATGTCCACTATAAGCAGAAGCTTCATAACCTAATAGAAGCAATAAATGTCTTAAATTGAAAATAAAAGTACGACGAGTAAATGCTTGACCGTTGGGTAAAAGAAAGAAAGGAGAATCATGATTATTGATGTTGCGAAGAAGAGTAAAACAATTTAAAGCATGAACTGCACAATTAATAGATCCGTTTTTAAACAAACGAATATTCACGCCTTTCCGATCTATATCAGTTTTTGATGATTTTAAATGAATAATAATATAGTTGATATCATATTGAACATCAGCTTTCGTAACATGTAAGCATGGAGAAAATTTATCAGGAAATAATTCACCGCGAATACCATGACAAAATGCTATGAAACGCAAAATAACAAGAGAAGGTAAATGATAAGAATGCATGTTAAAACCGCACATAACTGCAAAACGAATAAAAAGTTGATAACCAGAAGAATATGATGTTTTCGAAGTTGACGAAATAGTATTATTAAATAAAGCAGTTACAATACTATCGATTCGATCGACGGAAAGGTTAAGTCTTTCATTGAAGGAACGTTTTTCTGGTACTGATTGGCGGTTGGTAATAGTTGACGAAAGCGATTTATCTGTAAACGAGAGAGAGAGCATCTGCTAAACTATTTTCATATGTAGAAATATAAACAGCGCGTAATAAAAACTGATGTTGCATGGCAAGTAAAGTTAATCTACGCGAAAACGACATAATAAAAGGGTTTTTTGAACGACCTTTATTAATTATGTTAACTGTAGCCTGATTATCACATAAAAGACAAATTCGCTTCCGCTTCCATTGAGAACCGCATCAAACTGCTGCAATAACAATAGAAATAATCTAAAAAAATGCTGTTGACTTTTCATTATCTGGAAGATTAAGCATTTGCTCAGACCACCGATGAGCAAATCACTCATTCCCAAAAACAGCACCACACCCGACAGTTGTACTAGCATCCGTAGAGAAAGCCAAGCCAGTATTGCTGAAAATATTAGGATCAAGAACGAAAAAAGTTCCGTTCCATTCACTCAAATGTCGATACCACATTATTAATTCGAGTTGGGCTTGCCGATCAATGGTAATATGAGATTCCAGAGATCGAACATAAGGGGTCAAGTTGAATAAATAATGAACAAATGTTCTGCCGGGAATAACAACTCTGGAAGCAAATGACATGTGACCTAGGATAACTAGTAATTCACATTTTTTACATTTACGTCGATTAAGTAATGATTTAATCATTTCCATGATACGTAATACTTTCGCTTGAGGTAACCTCGCCTCCATGCGATTTGAATCAAGAATAATACCTAAATATTCAATTTCTTGAGCAGGACCGACGGTTTTATGTACTGATAAAGGAATCTTAAGCCGATTGAAAATAAGACTAATCATGACAGAAGTTCGTTCTCCACCATCATTCCGACTATCTACTACAAAAAAGTCATCCAACAAATGTAACATCTTTTTAAGACCATAATTATGTTCAGCAATCCAAACAATAGCTGCACTTAACATATCAAATAACTTAGGTGAACTACGCGAACCAAATGGTAAGCGTAAAAAGAAATAATAATGACTATTCCACTTAAGGCCGTAGAAAGGCCATAGAGATGGTTTAATCGGAAGTAATTTAAAAGCATCTTGAATATCAGCTTTATTCATCCAAGCACCCTTTCCAAATTTCTGAATGCTTTTAATAGCATCATCGACAGTAACATATGATAAAGAATTAATACTTGGATGGTCTTTATCATTATGAGGAGCAGATAAATCAAAAATTAAACGTTTCTTTTTTGAATATTTCGATTCAACCAAACCAATAGGATTTATTCGATAATTAATAAAAGGTGGAGAGTTGTACCGACCGATTAAGAAACCTTTGTTAAGTTCTTCTGCCACTAAACAAGTAACGTTTTTAGGATCACGACGAGCTGATCATAAATTGGGGCATTCTAAAGGTTTATTAGGTATGTTGGAGATACCAGTATCAAAACCTTCACATAAGCCTGATAACAAGAATGAAGTAAATTTCTTATCAGGATGACCAGCTAATTCGTGCTCCAATCGACAAATATTAATTGGCGTAGTTGCTATTAGAGGAATGTTTGTAGAGCAACCGGTAACTATAAGTAAAGGATAACGAGAACAACTATAGCAAACATAATTCAGCGACTCATACCAGAAATAGGTTAAGTCAATTTAAATTAAAAAAAATACTCTATCAGAGAATCCTAGATCTTTAACTTATTTCTATATTTATTATATTATTCGTACTTGTAGGATTATGGAGCTTTATTTATTTGTTTATTTTTTTTTATTTTTATTTTTTTATTAATATTATTAATAACAGCAGTTCATTTTATTTATAATATCAATTATTTGATATTACACAATTTTTTGGGGTGTGTACCTCGACAACGAGAACATAAATGAAGAAAACGACAATTCGGTTGAAGACATTTTCCGAAACCGGCTCCATTATAAAATTTACAAGTAGGACCAGAATCTTGCTTAACATCATCACTACCTAAAGCTTGACGAAAAGACACTTTCGATGATGTTGTAGATGTAAAATGAGATTGATTTTCGGATAATATTTTTTCGATTAAATCGTCTCGATTGAGTATTTTTTTACAAAAAGGTGTGAAGTGGTCTGGACTTCGACATAAATCACAAACAATTGGTCGTAATCCAGAGAAGACATTAAAATAAATATAGTTGTCTCTTTTGGACCAATCGATCAAAATGTTACGTGTTTGCAGGAGAGTTTCGGCTTTTTGAGCAAATAAACGGTGGTAATGATAGAAAAAAGGATGGCCGAACCGAGAAGATAAACGAATTATATCACACAAATAAACTGTTAATTCACAACGTCGTTGAGGAAAAACTTCACAGATGATATTTAAATAACGTATAAAAGCTAATATAAATTCAGAAATAGTAAGATTTTTATCTAAACGAGGATCATCCTTTTGTTTGAGATAAACATTTTTGTCTTCATCATCATCATCATTACGGCTATATTTTTTGTTGTCTCGAGAAGAAGAAGACGAACCAAATTAACATTATAACCTTCAATAATAGCTTTTCTTAAACCTTTCGGAACAGTTTCAAGANTGTACTGATGATGACCGAATTTACTAGCTTGTTCCAACAGACACTGGTCGAAAATTCTACATGTTATATAAATAATTGACATGAATAAATAAATAAATAATAAATTATTGCTGCATTTTCTTTTACTTTAATATGATTTTAGTATATTTATCAAGTTATTTACATTACAATAGAAATAATAATGATTATTCCACTTAATGGCGTAGAGAGGCCATAGAGATGGTTTAATCGGAAGTAATTTAAAAGCATCTTGAATATCAGCTTTATTCATCCAGGCACCCTTTCCTAATTTCTGCATGCTTTTAATAGCATCATCGACAGTAACATATGATAAAGAATAGGAATCTTTATCGATTAAAGAATTAATACTTGGATGGTCTTTATCATTATGAGGAGCAGATAAATCAAAAATTAAACATTTCTTTTTTGAATATTTCGATTCAACCAAACAAATAGGATTTATTCGATAATTAATAAAAGGTGGAGAGTTGTACGGACCGATTAAGAAACCTTTGTTAAGTTCTTCTGCCACTAAACAAGTAACGTTTTCAGGATCACGACGATCTGATCGTAAATTGGGGCATTCTAAAGGTTTATTAGGTATGTTGCAGATACCAGTATCAAAACCTTCACGTAAGCCTGATAACAAGAATGAAGTAAATTCCTTATCAGGATGATCAGCTAATTCGTGCTCCAATCGACAAATATCAATTGGCGTAGTTGCTATTAGAGGAATGTTTATAGAGCAACCGGTAACTATAAGTAAAGGATAACGAGAACAACTATAGCAAATATAATTCAGCGACTCATACCAGAAATAGGTTAAGTCAATTTAAATAAAAAAAAATACTCTATCAGAGAATCCTAGATCTTTAACTTATTTCTATATTTATTATATTATTCGTACTTGTAGGATTATGGAACTTTATTTATTTGTTTATTTTTTTTTATTTTTATTAATATTATTAATAGCAGCAGTATAGTTCATATATATATATTTTAATAGCAGCAGTTCATTTTATTTATAATATCAATTATTTGATATTACACAATTTTTTGGGGTGTGTACCTCGACAACGAGAACATAAATGAAGAAAACGACAATTCGGTTGAACACATTTTTTGAAACTGGCTCTATTATAAAATTTACAAGTAGGACCAGAATCTTGCTTAACATCATCACTACCTAAAGCTTGAAGAAAAGACACTTTCGATGATGTTGTAGATGTAAAATGAGATTGATTTTCGGATAATATTTTTTCGATTAAATCATCTCGATTGAGTATTTTTTTACAAAAAGAGGTGGAGTGGTCTGGACTTCGACATAAATCACAAACAATTGGTCGTAATCCAGAGAAGACATTAAAATAAATATCGTGGTCTCTTTTGGACCAATCGATCAAAATGTTACGTGTTTGCAAGAGAGTTTCGGTTTTTTGAGCAAATAAACGGTGGTAATGATAGAAAAAAGGATGGCCGAACCGAGAAGATAAACGAATTATATCACACAAATAAGCTGTTAATTCACGACGTCGTTGAGGAAAAACTTCACAGATGATATTTAAATAACGTGTAAAAGCTAATATAAATTCAGAAATAGTAAGGTTTTTATCTAAACAAGGATCATCCTTTTGTTTAAGATAAACATTTTTGTCTTCATCATCATCATCATTACGGCTATATTTTTTGTTGTCTCGAGGAAGAAGAAGACGAACCAAATTAACATTATAACCTTCAATAATAGCTTTTCTTAAACCTTTCGGAACAGTTTCAAGATCACTGTCTCCTCGTACAGATAGTCCACTAGTTCCAATATGTAAGTTCTCTTCAGCTGTTGGAGCCGAAAACAATGTAAATGGCTTACCAGAATTGTTGTTAATGTTATTTTTTAATGCAGCTTGATGAGCAAATTCATTTGATATTTTTTGTTGACGAGCCATAATATGATCTTCTTCTTCATCTTGTATAGCAGCTGGATTCATTTTGTTATAATTAACATTAATATCATCAATTCGATGTGTATCATCATCCGAAGAATCATCAACAGAAGCAGCATGTCGATCATGATGAGGTTTAGCCATTCCTGATGCAATTGGAAGTTTATTCTTCTTTTTCTGTTGGTCTTCGATAATATTAGTTTCATATAACAGACGTAATACATCAGTTTTGATGTCGGGTGGAATTAAAATGCCTATTTCAGCTAATGAATTAAGAAGATATTTACGAGACATCTTTGCAACTTGATTATTGTTTGTTATTTTTGATACATTTGGTTTTCTATGCTTCTGTTTGACTACAGCATTATTAGATATTCGCTTTGAAAATTTAGATGGTGACATTGATTGAAAAGTTTTATTGAAAAGTTTAACTTGAATAAATGTTGAAGTTTTAACAAATTAAGCAGGATTATATGAATAGCTTGTCATTGAATTAAAGCACGAGAAGATATTAATGAAATAACAACTTAGCTACACATGATAATGAACATAAATCAGAAACGAGCGCTACATTGAAATAATAGAAAGATAATTAAAATAAAAAGATGAGTCGAGCCTACATGAATCTTCTTTAATGTCTCGTTATCTCGCCATTAAAGACTTATTAAATGATTGCAATAATTGTTTTATATGAATGTTACTGCGTTTGGAAAACATGTTTTATTAATCGCTCCAACAAAACTTAGATCCGATATATTGTTTTGTTACTCTCTTATTACATATTTGCAACGTATTATTACTTAAAACACTTTTATGGTCATCTTGATCATATATAGTATAATCGCTTATCATGATGAAGTTTATTCTATATTAAAGCCATTGAAATTTTTAACTAGCTATCTTCATTTAATATATAAGTCGGAGTCTAATTATCTATAATAGTATTATTTTTAGAGACATATTTATTATAGGAATGATCATAGATCTTCGTTCAAAGGTGAAATACTATGATATTGTACATGTTAAGCTTACATTAAAGGTCACTTATGAATAGTAATGTTTGCGAAACATTCAAGTAATATCAGAGAGTCCATGTAGTTTTAAATAGCTATTAGCTCGAAAGATTGATTTCAAATTTATCTCAATTTTAAACTGTCATCAACTGAAAAGCGAACTGCCATAGCATTAAAAAACAATGTGCTTTTGTGGTGTAAAAAAGTTAATCATCAACGCTAGAATTAATGATAGGTGACAAGGACAATAGTTTTTAGTTGAGTCACGATTATTGGAAGGTTTGCTAATGAACTCAAGCTTGCTTTTTAAAGTTTCATCACAATCCAGTTTTAGATTATTGATATTATATTTCGATTTTCTATGTAGGAAGATGATAATGCTTCTAACGAACCACAATCGGATAATGAACCAACTGATGAATCATTCGATGAAGGCGAATGGGTCGATCTTGATCATGATGAAGAAATTGTTGATAATTTCATTGAAGGTGTTAATACCGAAGAAATATTACTTGATGATTTATAAAAACAAGTTAAAAAGGTCATCGATATAACACGTAAAATTGTGAATACAACTAAACAAACATCAACATTAGCAGCTTTTGTTGAAAAAAAACAGATAAATTACAACTTAAAAGTTAGTAAAGATAAACGTATCAGACGTCGGTCATCAAAGGATGTAAAAACTCGATGGAACTCTAGCTTCAAGATGTTATCTACGATTGATCTTTATCGAGATATAATTACTGATATGTTCAGATGTAAAGGAAATATTGGTATAACAAGTAAACAAAGAAAAAAATTAGCACATCTTGAGCTTACCACTGATCAATGGGATCTGATAAAATTACTAATTGCTTTATTAGAACCATTCTATTCAGCTACCAAAGCATTAAGTACCACCCAGCATCCAACAATTGGTTCTGCCTTGTATCTTATTCGTAGATTAGAAGAATATTTAGAGAAATTCGAAGATAATTTAATATTAAATGCTTTGAAAGCCAAGGTATTGGTGAAATTTCAGTACTATATGTTTGACGATACAGATCAATTTAATACGCTAAAAGTCAGTAAAACGTTATTTAAACATGTTATTGAATAATCTTAATTTGTTACAGATGTATGGATATTTTGATCCCACGGGAGTTTCGGTTCTCACTAAATTGGAACAAACTTCAGTTGAAAAAGAATCAATAAAAATTTACAAAAAAAACTTTGAATCAACAGCACCATTGTCGACAACATCATCAGGAAGTCAACATACAATACCAAGAGCTAATAATATTAACAAATCATGGGAAGCATTTCTTAAATCCATGAATAAAGAATTACAACAAGAAGTATCAACAACATCTTCTATTCATGATGAATTCAAACGTTATCGAAATCTGGCTACGAAATTGTATGTATAAAGAATACTATTCTAGGCATTATATTTAGTAGAGGTGGAATTCTTGGTTAATTTAAAATCAATATCAATTATTGATTGTTCATATTGAGAGTTAACATAAATTAATTTTATTCATTAGTTATATTTATAAAAAAATAGATATATAATCAGTTGTTTATATTTATATTTATCATAAATTTAAATAACCGATTATTTATAGTTATTTATTAATTAATGTGGATAAATAATGACTTATGTTTATTTATAAATAGAAATCACGAATAAAATTAATCTATATTAATTTTCAATACTAATAACTTATTATTTAATTTACGAGTAAATAAAATAAAATAGAAATAGATACTCCTATTAAATTAATACGTGATATCATTTAGGTTAGATACGAGTTTTTGAACTCACAATCGAATCTCCTTAGAATCAGATATAAACCTAATTTAGCTCAGATTTGATCTTCTTTCATGATTATATTAAACCGATTACACTATTACTTGCATGCTGGCTTCCACTGAAGGAAATAAACGAAATAATTCGAGAATGTTATCTGAAGACTTAATATAAAGTTAGATAAAATAAATCATATCGGAGTCTGTATTAATCTGAGTTCACTGGTGTCATATGTTTACTGCGGTGACTTTTACTGATCATCCATTTGCAAGTCCGTTGTTGTTTTGGAAAGAACATGGTATTGACTTACCATTATTATCACGGATGGCTCGTTGTTACTTATCAGCACCAGCAACCTGCGTCAAAAGTTAAGCCTGTTTTTCTGTTTCTGCTCATTACGGTAGAACGGAGCGTTCACGCTTAACACCTGATAATTTAGCTATGTCTATTTTTCTCAAAGATAAGATATAAAAGGGTGTGGGTGCCTTTTCCATTTTTACTAACAGCTACATCGACATTCACACCCACACCCACACCCACACCCACACCCACGCCCACACCCACACCCACACCCACACCCACACCCAC